GAGACTCCAACCCAAAAAAACAAAAAAATTAGGTTGGCTGGGCATGGTGGTTTAACATTTAATACAAACACTTTGGGAAGCTGGGATAAGACAACTGCTTGAGCCCAGGGTTTCAAGACCATCTTGGGCAACTTAGTGAGACCTCATGCCTATAGTAAATGAAAAAATAAGCCAGACAGAGTAGTCCACGCCTGTAGTTCCAGCTACTTGGAAGACTGAGGTGGAAGGGTCACTTAAGCAGAGAAGGCTGAGGCTGTGATGGCTGTGAGTGTGCCACTGCACTCCAGCGTTCGTGACAGAGTGAGACTCCAACTTTAAATAACACGTTTTCATGTGTTACAGAGAGGATAAATCTTGTGGGCATTATGTTGCCTTGAATTCACAGTATCCTCCAGACATGGTGGCTCGTGCTTGTAATCCCAGCATTTTGAGAGGCTGAAACAGGGGAATTACCTGAATTCAGCAGTTCATGACCAACCTAAGAAATACAGTGTAGCAAGACCTTTTTCTACAAAAGAATACATCAGCCAACGTGGCAGCAAGAGCCTGTAATTCCCAATACTTGAAAGGCTAAGGTGGAATGATCACCTGAGCTCAGGAGCTGTGGTAAGCCTTGGTTGAGCCCTTGCACTGCAGCCTGAGTGACACAAAGAGACTACAACTTAAAAATACATACATCTTACCCGGGCTCAGTGGCTAAGCCTGTAATTCCACACCTTGGAGGCTGAGGTGAGTGGACTGCCTGAGCACGTGGGTTCAAGACCCACCTGGGAAACTTGGCAAGACCTCATCTCTGCAATAAATCAAAAAAATCAGCCGGGTGTGGTAACGCATGCCTGTAATTCCAGCTACTCGGAAGGCTGAGGCGGAAGGATCACCGGAGCCCAGCAGGTCGAGGCCGTGGTGGCCAGGAGCGGCCACTGCCCTCCAGTCTGGGTGACAGAGTGAGACTCCAACTCAAAAAAAAAAAAAAACAAGTGACTATAGTTAATAACGACTTGTCTACTTAAAAAATTTGCTAAACGTACCCAATGGACAATTGCACACCTAAGATGGAATTGTATGCTACATCTTAAAAAATAAAAACATGCTGAAACAATGAACCTGAAACATTCCCATTTAAAAAACTAAAAGGAGCCGGGCTCGGTGGCTCAGCCTGTAATCCCGCGCCTTTGGGAGGCTGAGGTGAGTGGATTGCCTGAGCCCGCGGGTTCGAGACCCGCCTGGGCAGCGAGACCTCATCTCTACAATAAATCAAAAAATCAGCCGGGCGTGGTAGCGCATGCCTGTAATTCCAGCTACTTGGAAGGCTGAGGCGGAAGGATCGCCGGAGCCCAGCAGGCGAGATTGTGGTGGCCGGGAGCGGCCACTGCACTCCAGTCTGGGCGACAGAGTGAGACTCCAACTCAAAAAAAAAAAAAAAACTAAAAGGGCAACTATGTGTGGTGATAGATACTTTCACTAACATCATTGAATTCACTGATTCACAATGAATAAACATATGAAATCATTTCATTGCATACAATAAATAAAGATTAAAGACCAGGCATGGTGGCTCACACTTATAATCCCAGCACTTATGGAGGCCAAAGTGAGTGCATTGCCTGAAGTCACAGGTTTGATACCAGCCTGGACAACTTGGTGAGATCTCATCTCTACAATAAATCAAAATTTAGCCAGGTATGGTGGTGCATGCCTATAATTCCAGATATTTGGAAGGTTGAGGAGGATGGATCAAGTGACCATAGGAGGTCGAATCTGCAGTGGCTGTGAGCATGACACTGCACTGCAGCCTGGACAACAGAGTGAGACTGCAATAAAAAAAAAAAAAATTAAGCAATTTTTATTTGTGAAAAAAAGGACATGATAATAATGATGTGTATGTGTACATATGTGTGTGTGTATATATATATAGCCCCAAGCTTCATACTAAACAAAATTTTTAATTGAGTTATTTAAAAAACAGGATAAGCCGGGCTCGGTGGCTCAGCCTGTAATCCTGTGCCTTTGGGAGGCTGAGGTGAGTGGATTACCTGAGCCCACGGGTTCGAGACCCGCCTGGGCAGCGAGATCTCATCTCTACAATAAATCAAAAAATCAGCTGGGCGTGGTAGCACATGCCTGTAATTCTGGTTACTTGGAAGGCTGAGGCAGAAGGATCGCCAGAGCCCAGCAGGTCGAGGCTGCGGTGGCCGGGAGCGGCCACTGCACTCCAGTCTGGGCGACACAGTGAGACTTCAACTCAAAAAAAAACCAAAAACAGGATAACGTGAGAATTTAATGTTTACCAATGCAACGATACAATAAACTGAAAAAATTTGGCATTTAGAGTTTAGAAAAATCTCAGTTCACACTAAGAAATTTTTAAACTATAATAACAATACGGTTTCTTCTAGTTAGGGAAACACTGTGTTTTTGCAAAATTGTTTAATATGAATTTCTATAAAATCACATTTTAAACCTCCCCAGGACCACAAATCATAAGGCAGAAAACAAATATCTGTCCATGGTGTTCCTGAGATTTATGAATCAAATAAGAAAATCAGAATTATTCTCACATTTTTGAAATGATTCAAAAAGATAACTTAAAAAATAGCTTACAGCCAGGCCTGGTGGCTCATGCCTATAATCTCAGCACTTTGGGAGGCACAGGTAAGAGGACTGTCTGAGCCTACAGGTTCAAGACCAGCCTGGACAACTTGATCAGACCACATCTCTAGTATAAAATAAAAAAATTAGCTGGGTGTGGTGATGTGGGCCCATAGTACCAGCTACTTGGAAGACTGAGATGAAAGCATTGCCTGAGCCCATCAGGTTGAGGCTGTGGTGGCTATGAGCATGACACTGAACTCTAGCCTGCGTGACAGAGTAAGTCACCAACACAAAAAACAAAGAAGGGTGCCTAGGAGTTTCCAAAGACTAAGCAGATATTCCCACATTCCCAAAAGCAACAGAAGAACCGTCAGATCATGCAGTCCTTGTGAACCATTAAGAGGACTTTGACTTTCACTGTAACCTTGAAAAGGGATCACTGAAGAGGAAGTGGAGGTTTTGGAGAACTTCAGAGCATGAAACAGTAGGTGGACCGGGCTTGGTGGCTCAGCCTGTAATCCCAGCACATTGGGAGGCCGAGGTGAGTGGATTGCCTGAGCCCGCGGGTTCGAGACCCGCCTGGGCAACTTCATGAGACCTCATCTCTACAACAAATCAAAAAATTAGCCGGACGTGGTAGCACGCACCTGTAGTTCCGGCTACTTGGAAGGCTGAGGCAGAAGGATTGCCAGAGCCCAGCAGGTCGAGGCTGCAGTGGCTGGAAGCGGCCACTGCACTCTAGTCAGGGCGACAGAGTGAGAGTCCAACTCAAAAAAAAGGAACAGTAGGTGTTCCTATGTGACAGAAAAAGAAAGATATCCATGCTTCCCAGAAACCATTTCCCTTAAGCAGACCCCTTCCCAAACAACATTTCAGACTCGCCTTACTCCTTGACATTTCATGTGTGCTTCACTCACTCTCACCTACCTGTGGGTTTCTCTAACATGTTGTGTCTCATCACATTCCAGGGCTTGTTCCTTTGCTCCAGACACACGATCAAGTCTGGCTTAGAGACAGCAAGACCTGTTTTAGTAGAAAAAATAACTCTCGCTGTGATTCTCCAGGGACTGAACTTGTACTGTGCTCAGTCCAGAAAACATTATGCAACGGGATTCTCAAAAAGGAGTCCCAAAATACTGTTTCCCAACAGAACCTTTATAACATTTAAGAAGAATGTTCAATTTGTGAGTCCTTAACTAAGTGGCAGGAAATACACAATTGATGACAGCAATTAGGGTTTAGCTGTGAGCAATGATATTTTATGCCACTAAATTCTTCAACTTATCTTTAACCTAGAAGACATTAATCATCTTCATCATTAACCTAGAAGACATTAATCGTCTTCAACATTTTCTTTTCTTTGCCAAGGTGTCACATTTTCTGTGAAAGCAAGAATTTGAAACTCATTCATATAAACCAGAAAGTCTCAAGAAACATTCTCCCCCCCCAAAATGACAGGAAATCCTTAGTATGGAGGAGACATTTTATGTTGAGGTTCTCCTCACCCAGGGAAACCAGGTTTCTGTGGTTCTCCATCATCACATTCCTGTACAAAATCTGCTGTGCAGAGTCCAGGCATTTCCACTCCTCTGGAGAGAATTCTATGGCCACATCCTTGAATGTCAACAGCCCCTGAAAACAACAACATATACCAAGTTTGGATGGGCATTATTCTTCGCTGAACTCTAGGTGAAATGGGAGTGAATACCACTGGTTCTAACTAATATGGCATCTGGAATTGACCAATAAGATAGCTTTTAACACATAAATATTTGCATAGATATTTAAATCTGGGGAAAAAGATGGAATAAAATCCACTCAATCAGCATAAATACTGTACTTAAGTGAATGATACACTATAAAATCTGTGCACCAAGGCATGTCTGTATATTTTTTATGTATATTTACATCCAACATGATAAGTTGTATACATTGTCCAGATGGCAAACTCAGTGACTTAGAAAATTCCTCTAAAGTTGTTTTTAAATAGAAAATATAGTTTATTTAAAAGTAAATTACAAAAAGAGAGAGGTTCACTTCCCCATGGTAGGAGGGGAGAACCAGGAAACAGGGTGACAGCCATAACTCAAAGGGCACAAACCACATCATAGTCTAGCAAGATAATGGTAAGGATGTTCTGGCAATGGCACTCTAAAATTTGAATGTGTACAACAATGAACTGAATATTGTAAAAATTCACATTCTGATTCAGGAAGTCTAAAGTAAAACCTAGAGTGTCTGAAATTTTTTTTAGTTGGCTTTACTCTTTCACCCATAGCTCGCCAAAGTGTCAACCTCCTGATATAAAAAGATCCACATTTCTCAACCTCCCATGTAGCTAGAACTACTGGCACACACCACCATGTCGAGATCTTTTTGACTTTTGGGATAGAGATTAGGTCTGGCTGTATTGCCTAGGCTAACCTTTAATTCTTGGGCTCAAGGAATTTTCCTGCTTCAGCCTCTTAAAGTGCTGGGATGATAGGCATGAGCCACACTGCTTGACCTGACTTTCTGCATTTCTAACAAGTTCACGAATTATGTTAGTACTTCTGGCCCAGTAAGAATATTTTGCAAACATCTACCAAGTAGCAGATCCTGGGTTTATCTGTTTATCTGACCAGTAAACAAAGGTGAGTGCCTTCATTTTCAAAAGAAAACTGTATGCAAAGGAATAAAAGAAGAACGGAGAGCTTCCAGATTAAATGTGATGATCTTTGAAAAATCTTTCTAAGGTATATACTAATCATAAAAATGTTAACTTTATAGTGAAAAAGTCAGATGTCACGTTAATCAAGAATTCTCTAACAGTGTCTTTAAATTTTTTTGTTTTTAGCATCCTAGAGAGCAAGTTATATCTAAAAATTCTTTATTTGGATGTTCCTGAGTTATTCTGGGCATTAACAGTCATATGTTTAAATGTGTGTTTTATTAACCCGGCTTTGCATTTACCTAATGGAGCATCCAGTAAAAACCTTAATAAGCTGGGCTCGGTGGCTCAGCCTGTAATCCTGTACCTTTGGGAGGCTGAGGTGAGTGGATTGCCTGGGCCCGCGGGTTCGAGACCCATCTGGGCAGTGAGACCTCATCTCTACAATAAATCATAAAATCAGCCAGGTGTGGTAGCGCATGCCTGTAATACCGGTTACTGGGAAGGCTGAGGTGGAAGGATCGCCGGAGCCCAGCAGGTCGAGGCTGCGGTGGCCAGGAGTGGTCACTGCACTCTAGCCTGGGTGACAGAGTGAGACTCCAACTCAAAAAAAAAAAAAAAAAAAGTTAACTTTATACTGAAAAAGTCAGATGTCACCTTAATCAAGAATTCTCTAATAGTGTCTTTAAATTTGTTTGTTTTTAGCATTCTAGAGAGCAAGTTATCTCTAAAAATTCTTTATTCAGACCTTCCTGAGTTATTCTGGGCATTAACTGCCATATGTTTAAATGTGTGTTTTATTAACCCGGCTTTGCATTTAGCTAATGGAGCATCCAGTAAAAACCTTTATAAACCGGGCTCGGTGCCTCAGCCTGTAATCCCATGCCTTTGGGAGGCTGAGGTGAGTGGATCGCCTCAGCCCACAGATTCAAGACCCGCCTGGGCAGCGAGACCTCATTTCTACAATAAATCAAAAAATCACCCGGCGTGGTAGCGCATGCCTGTAATTCTGGCTACTCGGAAAGCTGAGGTCGAAGGATCACCGGAGCCCAACAGGTCGAGGCTGCAGTGGCTGGGAGCGGCCACTGCACTCCAGTTTGGGCGACAGAGCGAAACTCCAACTCAAAAACAAAAACAAAAAACAAACAAACAAAAAACCTTAATAGTAGATGTTCCCATATTTCCAGCTACTTGGCAGTTGAAGTATCATCACCTGATCTTAACAGGTTGAAACTGTGGTGGCCAGGAGCATGCTATAACCCTAAAGCCTGGGTAACACAATGAAAAAGTACCCACTTTTCGTTAATATCTGACAATCTACCCCATCTCGAATAGGAGTCTTGGGGATCCATGCCTTCCTAGGTTTCAGTCACAAGGGAATATTCATTTATAATGTAATGAATTCATGGTGAGAACTATTCATGGCAGCTTAGAAGCATGAATGAAGAGAACGGGGAGAAACCTGTGTTGTGTAGGGAAGCCGTGAATTCCACAAGAAGAACAAATACCAAGTTGAAATGAACCCATAAGGCAGGACTATCACAAGTAGAAAAGTAAAGTTTGCAAATTCTAAAATCATGACATTTGAGTAAAAATAGTGGACACAGCACCTACTTGGGACACATGGACCTGAGAACCAGCCATTTCTTCCTCTTCCTCTCCTTCACTGGGATGTGGTCTCAGGTGAGGTTATCTGGACATGTTACACCTACATGTTGAGAAAAAAACTTTTTACAGATTAAATTTAGTTAATTTATTATTATTATTTTTTGAGTTGCAGTGGCATGCATGCTCACAGCCACCCCAGTTTCAAACTGCTGGATTCCAGCCATCCTTCTGCCTCAGTCTTCCAAGTAGCTGGAACTACAGGGGCATGCTACAACACCTGGCTAATTTTTTTATTTATTGTAGAGATGAAGTCTCATGAAGTGTTCAAACCTGGTCTTGAATTCACGGGCTCAGGCAATCCACTCGCCTCAGCCTCCCAAATTGTTGGAATTACAGGCTGAACTATTGAGTCTGACCACTTAATTTATTTTTTAAGTGAGGGTCTCACTGTCACCCTGGCAGGACAAACACACAGTATGGAAGTGAATCCCCCTAGCAGTCTGGGATGTGGGTACTAAGTGTCCTCTAGTTCCTAGGATTTGCATGCAGGACCCAGGCTATTTCTTCTTGTTTCTTTATCAATGATATTAAAATAAAGGTCGAGGCTGTGGTGGCCGGAGCGGCCACTGTACTCCAGTCTGGGTGACAGAGTGAGACTCCAACTCAGAAAAAAAAAAAAAGCAACTAAAAAGAAAGTAGCTCAGGGAAGCAGTCTGCTTCAGTCACAGCCACAAGAAACTCAGTAAGCCCCTCACGTTCTCAAGCTTGGGGATCGTTCTTTCTGTGAGACACAGCCTAGGGAGGCTGATGCCTAGGTAGTGGCAAAGGGAAACTTGAGCAGCTAGGAACTTAATTTTGGGAGCACCACACATTCACTCCTCTCAACATAAAAAGGCTCTACCATTCACAAATTCACCAGAGACCAAAAGTCACCTGGAGTCAGTTTAAGATGCTAACCTGTGATAATTTTTTTTTCCTGACACCAGTTGTGTGGTCTTCTGGACACAGCCACTTCTCCAACACCAAGTGGTTGTGCAACAATTCAAGTCTGTTATCATCCAAAGTTAGCAAAGACTCTACAAGTTCAGGGCTGTCCCATAACACTGCCCCAATGCAGATGCCAGTTGCAAATCCCAGGGGCCATCTGTGCTTGTGAGCAACTGCCTATAAGACAGGGACTCCCATAGTCCCTCCTGGAGTGCAATAATTTGATCAAATATTCACAGAATTCAGCAAGAACATTTCACCTCACTTCCCCAGTTATAATGGATACAACTCAGAAACAGTCAAGGAAAATGATGTATAAGGCAAGGGACAGTGGAAGGGGAGATGGGGCCCAAATGTCTGCAGTTCTAAGCCAACTCTTAACCTCAGTCCCATTTGCCCCCCCCCACATGAATAAAAAACAAACAAAAAGACACACAGCCTAAGATGGGTGTTTCAGACACCGGCACATCCTCTTATCAGTTTTGTTTTTTTTTTTTAAGATTGGAATCTCACTTCATCACTCAGGCTGGAGTGCAGAGACATGCTCACAGCCACCACCAAGACCATCTTCTGTGCTCAGGTCACCCTTCTGCCTCTCCCACCAAGCAGCCAGAACTTACAGGCGTGTGCTACCAAATCTGGCCACTTTTTTGATTTAGAGATGAGGTCTCGTCAAGTTGCCCAGGCTGATCTCGAACCCGCAAGCTCAGGCAATCCACTCGTCTTGGCCTCAGGAAGTGCTGGGATTACTGGCTTAACCACTGCACTGGCCATCTTCTGTTTAATGGCACTCCTAAATAAAGTTACACCCCTTGCCCCAACTCCTTCTTTCAACTTACTGGCTGTCCTGTGCTGAGCACAATGGGGTTGTGACCTGATTACACAAACTGCCAATGACCCTGATTACAGACCCAGGGAATTTTCACCTGGAGAGTCCAAATAAGACAATTGCTTAGCTGTTGCCACCAGCAAACACTCAGGGCTGGTTTCCCCCCATTTTAGTCCAAATAAAGCTCAGCTGCTCCCCTTGATACCAATAAATCAAAGTGGCAGGGAACTGACAGGAAGAAGTTTATTTCGGAGTTCGAATCCAGAGAGAAGAAGCGTACTCGAGGTCTTTCTAAAATGGTTCTGCTTGGTCAGGCTCGGTGATTCGGCCTATAATCCCAGCATTTGGGAAGGCTGAGGCAAGTGGATTGGCTGAGCGCACGGATTCAAGACCAGTCTGGGAAACTTGACGAGACCTTGTCTCTACAATAAATCAAAGACAAACCAGGTGCGGTAGTGCACGCCTGTAGTTCAGGATATTAGGAAGGTTCAGGAGGAAGGATGCCCGGAGCCCAGCAGGTCAACACTGGGGTGGCCATTAGTATGCGACAGCACTACAGACTTGGTGATAGTTTGAGACTCCAACAGAAAATAAATAAAAAAGAAATGTTTATTTCTGAGTTTGAATCAAGGAGACAATGTCCAACTCGAGGTCTTTGTAACCTGCTTCTGCTTGGCGGGTCTTGGTGACTCAGCCTGTAATCCCAGCAATTCGGGGGGCTGAGGTGAGAGGACGGCCTAAGCCCACGGGTTCGAGACCTGCCTGGGCAACTTAGAAGACCTCATATCTCCACAATAAATCAAGAAAAATTAGCCGGGCCTAATGGCGCAACTCTGTGGTTCCAGTTTCCTGGAAGGTTGAGGTGGTAGGATAGCCTAAGTCCAGCAGGTCGAGGCTGCGGTGGCCATGAGTGTGTCATTGCCATTTAGCCTGGGTGACAGAGTGAGATTCCTACTCAAAAAAAAATAAGCGGGACTCGGTGGCTCAGCCTGTAATCATAGCACTTTGGGAGGCCGAGGTGAGTGGATTGCCTGAGCCCACGGGTTCGAGACCCGCCCTCGGCAACTTGACGAGACCTCCTTTCTACAATAAATCAAAAATCACCTGGGTGTGCAGTAGCGCGTGCCTGTGATTCCAGCTACTCGGAAGGCTGAGGCGGAAGGATCGCCGGAGCCCAGCAGGTCGAGGCTGCGGTGGCCGGGAGCAGCCACTGCACTACAGACTGGGTGACAGAGTGAGACTCACACTCAAAAAAAAAAAAAGAAAAAAGAAAGAAAGAGAACACAAGGGGACTCTCAGTCAAGTGCTCAGGAATGTGGAGGAGTGCTTGAACCCCGCCCTGCCCTTCTCCAGGGGCTGTGGACAAAAGGAGGACCGTTCGTGGGTCTCTGCATCAACCCTGCCCCTTCTCAAACCTTTCTCCCCAGGCCTTCTGGGACCGCCACGCCACGAGCCCTGGCTGGGCTTCGGGATTCACATTCCGCTGCTGACCCAAAGTGACTCCTTCCCATTGTGAAGGCGCCTCCGGGTGACCTTCGGGAGGGAAGGGGGCGGGGGACAGGCCACTTCTCTCCCACCAGTCCCACATGTACGTGGAATCCTGCCTACGACCGCTCCCCCTTGGCGCCCCGCACACCCCGAGCAGGGCTGAGAGAAGATTCCCAGAAAGGGATCTCACGGGTGAGGCTGCCCTGGATACAAGACGCCAGGTCGCGTCCCAGCCCCACATGCATCGAGAGGATGGGGCCTTGCCACCGGCGGGACTGCTCCAGCCCGCTGCAGCTGGATCATCCGGGTCCATCCGCCTTTCCCCTCTCCCACCTGGTCCCATACTCATCATCTCCCACCTTCTGGGTGTCTCGGCGTCCTTCCTACAGATTTCCAGAACCTGAAGGTCACAGGGCGACAGACTGTGCAGCAGAGACACCAGGGACACCTAGAGAGCAGGACAGAGCAGCAGGGACTATCGAACTCTGTGCACAGGCGTAGGAGGTAAAGGCCCGGTCTGCACCGGAAGCCCCGCCTGCTCTTCCGGCTGGTATTTGATTGGGTAGTTCCACCATGGCATCCGCTGATAGGATAAGCTTTCAGAACCCACCCATCAGGTTTTGAGTGACAGGAGAGGCAATCAGCCATGGTCTCTGAGTCAAGAAAAGCAGATTTCTTTCTTTTGAGATATAGTCTCACTCTGTCGCCCAGGTCGCAATGCAGTGGCACTCTCACGGCCACCCCAGGGTCGACCTCCGGGCTTCCGGCGATCCTTCTGCCCCAGCCTTCCAAGTAGTGGGAATGATGGCGCACGCTACTACGCTGGGATAATTTTTAAACTTATTGTAGAGACGAGGTCTCGCCAAATTTCCTAAGCTGGTATCGAACACGCGGGTTCAGACAATCCACTCGCCTCGGTCTCCCAACGCGCCTGGATTACAGGTTAAGCCACCGAGCCCAACAAAAGAGCAGGCTTTTGCATGCAGCATTTTGAAGCTGAGAGCCCTTCCTACACCAGCACCTGCTCATGAATGGTGACATTCGTCTTGACACTGTGTATAATAATATATTCATTTACGAATAATATCATACAGCACATATAGGTATGTTATTCATAAATGGAAGCAATATACTGACAATTATTTTAAGTTTCAGATTTTATGAGTGAAAGGGTAAACTGAGGCAAGGTGGGCCGTGCCGCAGTGCTTAAGCAAGCTTGCAGTACAGAAGAAAGGAAAGGCTTTTTTTTTTTTTTGCTTGTTTTTTTGTTTTTGAGTCGGAGAGTCACTCTTTGCTGAGGATGGAGGGCAGTGTCATGCTCATGGTCACCGGAGTGTTGACCTGCTGGGTTCAGGCGATTCTGCCTCAGTCTTCCAAGTAGCTGGAACTACAGGCACATGCCACTATGCCTGGCAATTTTTTTTAAATTCATTGTAATGATGAGATCTTGCTAAGTTGCCCAGGCTGGTCTCGAACCTATTGGCTCAGGTCATACTCTCATCTCGACCTCCCAAAGTACTAGAATTATAGGCATGAGCCACACCGTGCCTGACCTGAAAGTAAATGTTTTTATTCACCTTTCACAGATCTAAAGGTGGACGGCACTCGAGAGTGTGGCATGGCAGGCTGGAAGTCAGGAATATTTAAGGCCTCCAAAGTAAGGCTTTGACTTATGGAGGGGGGTTAGACGTGGACGAAGTCTGGTCCAAAAGGAACATCCAGAGTTGCATTCTTTGGTTTCCACAGCAGTCTCGTAGTGTATCTTGACATTGCCAGGCATCAACATCACA